CCTGCAGAACAGTAAGATAGCAAATTTGTGTCCTTGTAAACCACCACGCTTGTGGTGTTTTGTCAAAGCAGCAACAGAAAACTAACACAACCAGTAAAATTAGCAAGAACTCCCTTTCCTGGGAAACCAAGTTCAGTGTCTCCCAGATATTTCAAAAAAATTTTTTTTCAGTCGTTTGTTCGCAGGTTGTATCATTTTTAATGTTATGAAGCATTTAGAGGCCCGCCCAGTATTGTATTACTATTCAGCTTAAGCTAAATTAATATAACACCAAATCTAAATAAATAACAGCGTCCACCTACCACTCACTACGGACGTGGGCAAGTCGCCTCCTTTCTGGGACAAGGCTTTCTCACCTGGACAGCAAGAGGGTTGGATTGTTTCACGTTTCCTCCGGGGCACCCATGCCTGGGCTGCGCGGGAGCTGAGAAGACCCCGAAACGGCGCAAGAGGGCAGGGCCCTCCCCGCTGCCTGCCTCGGAATTCCCTGTAGATGCCGCCGTCCCTCATCTCCAATCAGAAGGGCGTTGCACGCAGGGACCTGAGGGTCCCCCAGTGCGAGACTCGCCTCCTAGGGGACTGGTGTCCATTTAGAGACTTCACCGAATCAGAGGAAGAAAAGACCGTGAGCTTATTCGACAGCGTACTCAAAGGAAGACGTGCACTTGAGACGCACGGATTCCAAGCCGCTGACGTCACAGTCCACCTTCTCGGAGCGCTGGGTGCCTGGCCCGTGGGGCCGTCCGCCCGAGTAAATGAAATGCAGGATGCTCGATTACATTTGAGTTTCAGATAAATAATAAATCATTGTTTGGTATATGCTCCCAGACGATATGGAGAATATACTTACATTAAAACAATTGTTCATTTTCATTTCTGATCTGAATCGAATTTAAGCAGCAGTCCCGGTTTCATCTGGATCTGACTGGATCCTGCTCCCAGAGGACCAAGCCATACTCGGGCTTCCAGGATCCAGGGACCCACCCCAAGGCGGATTCACGTTAAGAAAGGAAGGCAAAGGGGAAAGTTTTGAGAATGACCTTATGAGGGCCTGAAGCTAGAAGGAGCAGGTGACTCCTGATCCTATCCTAGTCAGTCACCATAGAAACAAACCACCAAATCCGCCTGAAAGACCTGGTAAACAGTACCTACCTCCTCACCACCAATACCGACCGTCCTCATTCCCTTCCCTGGCTGGGTCCTGTCAGGCCTGGTCTCATTGTCCCAATGTCTCCCCCAGGAGACAGCCAGGACCTACCCTGCCTTCCTCCCTCCAAGGCCCCGGCTCCTCTCCCCAGCCACAGCCTCCGATGGCTGCCCTGAAGGGCCCACGGTGTTGGGAGAGGCAACTGGATACGCAGTCCTGTGCCAAAGAAAACCCAGAACCAGACAGTAGCTAAAGCGACAAAAATGATACTGCAGTGGGGGAAAGGGACCTCCGTTTCTGCAGAGCCATCCAGACCTCAGCCCCAAAGGCAGCCTGGGCGGGTGTCATCTACGGCCAAATAGCAGGGTGGGTGGGGTCAAGGGAGGAAAATGATGAAGCGGGAACAGGTCAACGTGGCTAAACTGACCCAACGGGATCCACGCTGAAGGCAGGTCATGGCCGTCAAACATCCCCATGGGGACAGTTGAGGACAAGGTGACAAGGAGATCAGACAGGGAGGTGCGGTGTCCTGGTTTAAGTGACTTTACAGGGTTCTTGCTAAAACCAGATTTTATAAGCACACAGAGGGGCCAAGGAGAAGGTTCAGGAGCTTGACTAACCTGTCACCTGCCCATCCTGCCAGAGGAAGCTACCTCCTGCTAGAGGCTACCTAGCAGGGATTTCGCCCAAGGACAAACAGCAAACACTTGTTCTAAACAAAACCTGTCTGGCTGGGCTGTCTCTGTCCTTCCCAGGATAAAAAAAAAAAAAACAATCCTCGACTAATCCAGGATGTGATTAAATTGATTGAGGAAATGTTCAATCTTTCAGACGAGCCACAGGCTGGCAGTAAGCTTTGAATACAAATGCAGGGGCTTGCATGGATGTGTTTTATTTGACTCTGGAAATTAGAGGCTCTTTGGAGGGGAACGTACAAATTTGTTCAAAATGTCCCTGACTGTGGGAAAAGAGGCACTTACACAAGTCGCGAGGAGTGCCCTTTAACGCCCAGCCTGGGGTGTCTGGGGTGTCGGGTCTTTCTGACCCGATCTGCTAGCCCAGCCCTGACCTCACAGCAACTGAACTAACTCTCCCATGGCCACCTCCCCCTCCCCCAATGCTCCCCCTCCCCCAATGCAGCGTTTCCACGTCTGTCCTCTCTCCCTCCACACAATGAGCTGTGAATATTATTCTTCCCATTTTACAAACAGGAAAGGAGTGCTTTGAGTGAGGGAACCACGGTCACTTTGCTCGAAGTAACAGATCCCTTCCAGATCCCTCTCTCTCTCCCCTAGTCTGGACAACTTGCTCAGATGTCATTTCCACATGGGAAGATTCTGTCCTCTTGGGGTGCAGAGATGGAGAAATTTCCATCTCTGTCCACCACACCAACCCTATGTTCAGCAAATTTCCTCCCTTTGCTGAAAATTTGCTCCCTTTCATGTAACTCCAACCTTCATGGTCTGCAGGCAAGCAGTAGTCCTTAATCAGGACGGTCACATCTGAGCGGTTAGGAAGCCCCCCCACAAAGGGGCTGGCCCACCTCTGACCTTCTACACTTGATCTTAGCCAAAAGGCCGAGAAGCGGTCCACCTCTGACCCTCTAAAAAGGCTCGGCAGGGTCTTGGGTTTGCATCGTGGACAGGTTATTGAATCCAGGAAATCACAGTGTCTAAATTTATGAGGTAAATTTGTATCCGACATATACATTAACCTCTATCCCTGAATTCAATTAAATAATAACCCAAAGGATTATTTTTGCAAAACCTGAGAATGAACGCACCTTCTCTGCTGATCCTTCTCTACTGCTCTCAGAATTCCTGAATCTGGAGGCTGCAAGGCCTCAACCCCAGGCTCGCAGCTACCTGAGGACACTAATGTCAACCCTGATTTTCGCCTATAAAGCCCAGTCTAGCCAGGCTGGCCGAGACTGGGAGCATCACTGTAGGTCATTGCCCATGATGTCCATGTGGTGGTCTTTGCCCCGCATGACCCTCTTCTCCACCTGGAGCAACTCTGTTCCTTCGTCAAGCCCCTGCTCGAATCCCCCCTGACCTCCGGTGCACAGGGCGGCTATGAGAGCGGAGACCACAGCAGTCAAGCCCCCAGCACAAGCGGACACAGATGGGGGTGCTGGCTCCAGCACAGCTCTGATGGTCACTGCCATGCCCTCGCCCCTGCCTTTCCTGAAGAACCCCATGCCTATCCCAGCTCCTTCTGCCTCCTCCACGTTGCTACGTGGCCACCCCGGTGCTCACCCGTCTCCTCCACAAAATCCCGAACTCCTCGAGGGCTGTCTTTGGGGTCTCACGTCTGGCTCTGGGCCTGGCACTGAGTGGGCTAAACGTACATTTCCAAACAAACCCTCCTGTCTCCTGGCTCCAGGGACAGCAGTTTGATGGATGATCAGAACCCGGTAATAAATTAAAATTCATTTTATGATGTGGTTATAGAGACAGACAAAGACCACGCTACTAGTGACATCATGTCGGGCTGGTGACACTATCGATCGTTAATCATGTTTACTTCAAGATAGTGCCCTTGGCTTGGACACGGGGGAAAGGTGGTCCAGAGCCCCATAGAGCATGTCACTGTGACCTGTAGGAACTGCTTCCGGAAGCGATGGGGCTGTCCGGCCGGTGTGGGCTGCACCCACCCACCCCCTGCGACAGAGGCTGTGCTTCGCTCACCTCTACAGACCCCAGAGTCTCAGTAATTATCTTTGGATAACTGAATTAATTCCTTTTAAGTCACCTGAAACTCGTGATATTGTTGAGGACAAGAAGCTCAGAAGAAACCTCCTCTGGGTCTCCCGTTCTCCCCGCCGACTTGTGAGAAAAGGCTCCAGAGAAGGAAAGTGCCGGATGGTCTGCGGGTCAGACACTCTGCACACCCACTCGTAGGTCTGTGCCATTCCCTCCTCTGGGAAACCCCTTCCCTGTCTATCAGGGGACCTCCTACAGCAGGTCTCCCTGCAATAAAAGGGGCTCATGAGGTTCCTTGAGGGTTTTTCTGATTCAATGTTGGTCATTTTCACCAGTTCAGCCTTAGGGTAGGTAAGCAGGAAGAGCTGGCAAACAGGCCCTATCTCTGCAGCTTCAGTAACAAAATCTGCAGCCATTCGGGAAATGTGCCCGCTGGGTCTGAGGCGGTTCCTGGAAGGCCCTGGGCTCCAGCCTGTGGTGTGACAGGCATGGGGTGCAGACTAGAAAGCTGGAGAGGAGGACAGAGTGCAGCGGGGGCCTGAAAACCAGGAGGAGTGTTGTAAAAGCCCGAGAGCTCCTGCAAACAAACCCAGGTCTTTCTGCCGCGATTGCCTCTGAGCACCTTGGGGACCGACGAGAAGCAGTGGACTGAAGAATCTGCATGCCGCTCCTCACCCCGTCACTCACTAGCATGATCATAAGCAAATCACTGGGCTGCTCTAAATTTCATTTCCTTAGCTATAATATGGTCTCACAGTGAGCGGGGACTAGCTTCCTACACGACCTCTCTGGAAGAGGTGAACAACACCGCGGGCTGGGATCCCTAGAGAAAATCCCCAGGCCTCTTGGGAGTTCCCGGGGTTCCATGTGAAGAGGAGATTGCCACACTGGACAGGAACACTTTGTCGTTTGCCTCTGACATGATTCCGCTCAGCCTCTCTAAACGGTTTACAAAACGCTCTAACATCCAAGATGCATCCTCATTGCATCATCCCATCAGTTTCTTTCCTAAAGAAGACCTAGCCCGTGGGAAACGGCGCCGGGCTCCAGCCCTGGAGAACCTGGGCACCAGGGCTGGGCTAACGCAGCTTCCCGACCCGGCGCCTTCCCGGGGCGGGGCGGGGGGCGGGGCGAGCCGGCAGGGGGCGGGACCCGGGCGGGTCACGTGACGCCCGGCCCGGAAGCGCTAGCCCCGAGACCCCCGAGTGACCGGGTCAGGGGCTGCAGTTTATCGTGACCGTGGAGGTCGCGAGGGTCCCTGCAGTGTCGCGCTCCCCTCCTCCGCCGCCATGGCGTGGACCAAGTACCAGCTGTTCCTGGCCGGGCTCATGCTCGTCACCGGCTCCATCAACACACTCTCGGCAAAGTGAGTTCATGCCCAGCGGGGAGAGGAGGGGGCTCCGCGGGGCCTGCCGCAGCCCACGCGGGCGCTGGCGACCCCCGCACACCTTCCCCGCCCTACGCCTCAGCTCCCCCCTCCCAGCTTTACCCGCTCGTCCAGTCTCTCCGGTCGGTTCACTTGGTTTATGTACCATCCAAGGGGTATGAGGCCTGGGGAACCGTGGAGCGGGTTCCTGTCCGCATCTGGCGGACCCGAGCCCCGGCTTTGACTCGCTGTGTGCCTGATCCTGGCGAGCCACCCCACGCCTCCGCGCCTGTTTCCTCATCTTTAAACGGGAGACTTAGACCAGTTCCTCTCCAGTACCCCTTTCAATGGTGGCGTTGGAGGCCCTACCCTCCAGGAGCTGTGGGAGTGGTGGGTGGGGGTGGAAGGAGGCTCCCAGACTGGTGCCTGCGAGCTGCAGTAGAGGCCATGGAAGCCCAGTGATCGGTGAGCGTAGAGGGCTGCGGGGCAGAGAAGGGGCTGCCCTTTCAGACCCTCACGGAGGAAGGGTTACAGCTGGAGTTTACATGTGTGGAGGGTCGGGGGTGCGCGGGGGACATCGAGGCGGGGAACAGCAAGGCCAGATGACAGTAGATTGTAACTAATGGCCAAGCTGGATTTTATCCCATAATCAAAGAGAGGCTTTTGAAGGAGGAGGGTAGAAGGGGACTAAATAGTAATGGGGGAAAGAATACAATACAATAAAGAATTACAATATACAATAAAGATTAAATCAAAAAGAGAGAGAGAGAGGCTTTTGAGCAGAGGAGTGACATGCTAACAGTGATATGATGACCCACCTGGTGGTCAAGGTGAAGAGTAGTTTGGTGTGGGGAAAACCACCCCAAGGCTGCTGCGTGGTAGATGAGGGGAACTAGGAGGTGGGAAAGGAAGAGGCAGGTGGGAGAGACCAGGTGCAGAATGAAGCTGCAAGGCCTGACCCACAGGCTCAAGAGACAATGGGTTTCTGAGAGCACAGGAGTGCCGTTCACCCCGACAGGGAGGGCAGGTAGGCCAGCGAGCGGGTCAGCCATGATGTGTGAGGGTGCGGTGCTGCTGGAACAGGGAGGGCAACGGTCCTCAGGAGGCTGGGGATTGAGGACCCAGGGCTGTCAGGCAGAGGGACCCGACGTAGCCTCTTCTCTGTAATGTGCGAGGAGGACCGGGGCCCAGGCGGCAGCCCCTTCTTCTGGCAGCCCTTTGCCTCTTTCTCTGCCCCCACCTCAGAGCAGGGCCTTCCCTCCCTCTGCCCACCATCGAAGAGCCCCTGGACCCAGAGCCTGGCCTGTCTCTGAACCGATTCCCAGGCACGCATGGAGAGCAGTGGAGACTGGTCTCCCAGTGAGACCTCACCTCTGCCTCTCCCCTGCCAGGCTCCAGAGTTAAAGGGGAGTCACCCTAGTCACCTTCTGGCCTGTGCTCCTTGGCTAGTCCTAGCATATTCGTTTTTGAGTCTTGTGTTCCTAGCATACTCCATCAGGGAGGTGAGAAAGGCCCTGAAGAGAGGTCAGGGAGAGAAGTATCCTGTTCAACTCAGCAGGCACGTATAAGGTGCCTACAGGGTGTGAGGCCCTGTCTGGACTCGGGGAAGCAGACAGAAGTGACTCAAAGATGGTCCCTGCCTTTGAGATGCTCAGAACCTGAGGTGGAGGAGACAGATGTGTTCACACTTGGCAATGGCCTCCCTTCTCCAAAGGAAGCGGAGCTCTGGGCGGGGCCCACCTTGTCTCCGTGTCAGCTGTCTGTGTCTGTCTTCTGCTGGTGTCCCGAGCCTTGCGGCCTCCTGAAGGTCACTCCTGCCGTGCGTGAGCCCTTAGCTGTACAGGAGCCTCACCCTGAGGGCCCCTATCTCCGGTTCGGATCTGAACGCAGCAGAAGGAGTCACTGTCCATCGGTCTGTAGCATCAGCCAAGATCTCAGTCAGGTGCTTAGAGCGTGGCTGCCAGGGCTGCTGTCCCTAAGGAGTGATGAGGTTGCTAGTGAGTACCGGGGTAAACTGTAGTGACTCAGCTCCTTAAAACGCTCCAAACAGGTCAGGTAGGAAGCTAGAGGATCCTCAGCCTCAGGGGGCCTTACCTTGAGAGGCAGGAAAGAGTCTCCCAGGGTGGGACCCAACCCTTGATCTGTCCTCGGCCTGATAGCCTGAGACGGGCCCCGGAATTGGACTCTAAATCGTGTTCTAAGGCCAGACTGTGAGAAGGATGCTCTCGGCGAGAAAGAACTTGGGAAAGTGGCTGCATACATCCCGATACGAATTAATTATCAGTTTGAAGTCACAGTCTGACCCGCAGCTTCTGGCGGGGCGGGGGGGGGGGGGCGGGGGAGACAGACAGACAAGAACGCGATCATGGCAAGTGCTGATGAGCTAATCCACACGGAGCTTCGCGTGCCAGGCCCTCCTCTGGCCGCCTGTCGTGTGTTAATTTAATGAGTTCCAGGAACCACCCTGTGAGGTAGACGGACTCGTTGTCCTTGGATGAGGAGACCGGCGTGGGAAGATGGACTTGCTTGCCCAAGTTTAACTCATCTGGAAAGTTTATATCTGAGCCTAAATAATCAGCTCTGTGATCCATGCTGTTAATCACCACTGTGGGATGGCGCTGGGGACGCGTCTGGCCGTTTTTCGAGGCACTTGGAGTCATTAGAAACGTGGAAATCACCCATTCTCATCCCCACAATTTAGAGTTGAGTCCCAAGAGAAGTTTCTTTTTGTGACTCCGCTGGCCAGTGTCACACAGAGCCGGGACCAGAACCCGGGTCTCAGCGTTGCAGCCCAACCCCATTACTTCCGACTGCAGTACCTGGAGTCCCTCTCCCCTGGGCTCTTCTGTCCCATCTCCCCAGGCAAGGACAGACAGAGGTGCCCATGGAAGGGGCGATCCTTTAAGTGGCACCTCCCTGCCCTTCTCTCAGAGCACCCTCCCCCTGGGGCTGGGCAACCAGCCTCCATCCCAGCCCAGGGGACCCTGCTGGCACCCTGCTTGGTTTCCCCCTCTAGCCAGAGGCCATGCAAGATTCAGGTGTAGAGTCTCTAGCAGCCTCTTGCGGTTCCTTGGCCCGGAAGGTGAGCGAGTTTCCCTCCCCGGCTCCTTGGGAGGACGAAGGAGAGGGGATGAGGAAGTGAGTAGGAGCACGTGCCGCCTGCTGTGACCACAGGTCAGCCCCCCGCTGGAGGGGCCGTTCTGCCCACTCAGCAGGTTAGGCGGCGCTGCAGGCAGAGATGGGCGTGCTCTGGCTGGGGTGGGGGTGGGCGTCACATACCCACGGGAGGGTAACCCACCCAGCAGGCTGCCCCTTTGGCCCTGTCACTGGGTCTTTGCAGAGGGCCGCTTCCTGTGAAGTGGCTCCTTCTCCTTTCTGTGGCCGCTTCCACCCCAGGCACTTCTGCTGATGTGGCTCCTGGAGACCAAACATCTCGCCTTCCTCTGCACTGCTGCGGTCTGTCTGCCTGACCCAGCGCCTGTCCCCGGGGTTGCGCCCTGCTCTCCTGAAGCCAGCCGGGGTTCTGCGTGTAAAGAGCCAAGGTCAAGTAGACACTCACTAAGGAAGGCTCAGATCCCCTCCTAAACAAACGTCTGCGCGATGTGAAGCTCACCCAGCCAGGGAGGGGCCGTGGGGTGACTTCCCCTCCACCAGCCAGGCCCACTGGGTCCAGGGACCCTGCCAGGAAAGTGGCAGGCGGGCTGGGACCACTGGGCCCCTATTAAGGAAGGACTCTCATCATCCCTTCTGTGCCAGCTCTAACTTTTGCCGTGGCTGCTGCCCCCACCCTTGGGTCCCATGAGCTGGCATGGGATAATTGCTTCAAAGGCTTCCTGGGCCAGCTGGAGAAAGCCTGGCGTGGGGGGGCGGGGGGTGTGGTAGCGCAGGAGAGTGGGAAAAGCCTGAGACCCGGAAGCTGTGGGACCAGATGAGTCACAGGGCCTCTCCAAGCCTCAGCTTCATCTGTAAAATGGGCGTGACTTCCCACCTCTCCCCCAGACACGGGTTATGATCTACTGGGGAAGGTGTTCTCATTGCACTTAGACATGAGAGGGCTCGTCCTCACTTGTCACCGCACGAGCCAGGGCTGCCCTGGAGAGCGGAGCAGCCCTGCTGCAGATCCCTGCGGGAGAGAGCAGCTGACTCACTGGGCCTGACCAGCCGGGCACTGAAGAGGAAACGGCAGAGATTCTGCGGGGAACGGCCACACAGCCAGCGGGTCTGAGGCAGCCACATCACCCACTTCCTCCGTTTCACTCCGCCACCCCAGCCCATGTGCAGATACTCTCCGCTCTCAGAATGCTGAGCTTTGGGTTTGCCTGGGCAAGGATGTGTATAGTGACTCACCGGGCATCGAGGGCAGCCCTGCCCAGCCTGCCCTGGAGGCCACGGCTTTCCCTGGATACAGTATCCACAGAGAATGGAGCGGGGCAACTGCAGAGCTGGCTCCTCCCCATCTCAGCCAGGGGAGACGAGGGTGTGGAGCTGGAGGCGGAGACTCCTGGGCACCCGCCCTTCTGGGCATCTCAAAAGCCTTGTTCCTCAGCTCTGTCTGGTCCCTCATACAAGTAATAAGGAGCTTCATGACAGGGCGTGATGGCTGTTTCTCCCCCTCCTGCAGCACTTTGGGGCTCTACGGACCTACTGGGGCAGTAGCTGGAGGCCTCCCGGCCACCTCTGCCTCAGCCAGCAGGGCAGGTCCCAGAGAATGGCTGCTCTCCCAGAAGCCCCCGGGCTAGAGCCAAGCCTGACTTAGCACAAGGGGCTGTGGCTGCCGCTCCATGGAGGGGAACAGGGAGGAGGGGCAGGAAAGAACCTGCCATGTGCCAGGTCTTGTGTATCTTATTTATTACTTTTGACACTTCATCGGTGTTATCCCCATTTTATGGTAAGAACACTATAACTCGTCCAGCCTGTGAGGCTCGAAATCAGCTTTCCGAGTAGCCTGCTGCCTTTTCCGAATGTAAATTCAAGCACTGGGTCTGGGCCTGATCTGCCTGTCGCTGACTGGGTGAGCCTGAATGCGCCTCTCTCCACCCCACCGCCCCTCACCTTGGAGTCCCCGTCCGTCGGATGAGGATCCTTGAAGCGAGGCCTAAACCAGACAAGCCACCCACATGAAGTGCTCCGCACAGGCCTGGCACCAAGTCAGTGCCCAGTGAATCCTCTGCTTATAAAAACCTTTTAGTGGCAGGTTTTGCAGATGGCCGAGTGCTGTCCCACCTTGGGGGTCATTGCTGTCATCCCCAGATGGACTGCGGCTGGATTTTGGCTCTTGTTCTGTGCCGCCCAAGGCCCCTCGGTGCCTGCACCATGAACTAAAGTCTGTCTCTGGGCCGGGAGAGAAGCCTGACTCCTCCCAGCGTGCCTGCTGGCCTGACCTCCTCCCCAGCCTGACCTGCTCTCTGGCCTGAAGAGAGGCTGGGGAGGGCAGACGCTCCAGGCGACACCTAATCCCTCGGGCCACGCACCGTCCCCAGGCCCTCAGATACAAGAAGACTCCTTTTCCCCAGCTGGGAATGCCGCCAGCCCCGACCTGTTCGGGCAGACCTACCCCTTGGAGAAGACAGCCCTCTGGGGCAGGAGGAAGGGAGCTCAGCACCAACCCTAGAGCCAGCCCCCCACCCGGTGTCCCACCCTGGGAAAAGACAGGCTCAGCTTGTCCCACTCAGCTTTGCACCTCAGACCAGGTGCAAAATTAGGACTCTTGAGACGTTGCTTCTGGACTCTGTGTAGTATCTGCCCGTCTGCTTGGAGGGATCTGGAAGTCTCGTTCATTCGGCCAAAAACTGTTTGAGCGTCTGTATAGTAATGTGCCAGAAGCAGAGGCTTGAGCGATGTGGAAGCTGCTGGGTGTTAGACTCACACTCTTAGGGGACAGTGACTGTGGATCCAGAAAGTGACACAGATGTGAGTTGTCATTACTGTAAGCTGTGTAGGCAGTAGTTGTGGGGGGCTGGGGGGGCTTGCAGGTGGATCCACCACTAGATCTGGGGGTCTTCTTGAGCCTGCCAGTCCCTGCTCGGGAATGAGCAGACGAGGAGGGGTCCCACAGCCACCCGCTGGCCGCATGGACCTGGCAGGACCTCCCTTACGCCTCCTGGAGGAGCCCTGGCTCCTGCCGCAGGAATCCCACCTCTCTGACCTGCTCACTTGCTCCGGGGAAGTTGGCTCTGTGCCCTTGGTGAAGTTTGACCTCTTCACTTTTCCTCTGTTTCGCTCAGTTGCCTTGCCCAGGCCTTCCCGGGGGCAAAAGTGAGCCTGGTGGTAAAGTAGGCCTGCCCTGAGCCACGGTGTGTCTGCGGCCCCCACCCACCTCCCATGCCCTGCCCTCCCTGGGGACCTAGGAACGAGAACCTGTGGCAGATCAGGCAGAAGCAATGCCCCAGACAGCAGGTGGTTTCGTTCTGCAGGGAGGGCTTCCTTTCTCTGTCGGTCCGGGCGCTGGTGTTGGCCTGGTCCCCGGACCCAGATTTCTCTCTGCCTTCCCAGCCAGTCCTGTCCGAACTCCCCGCCCTGCAGCTCTCCTTTGGGCGTGGTCATTCCCAGGGACCACGCGCCCTCCTAACTGCCCCTCTCACTCCACATCTCGGGGAACAGGTGCGGGTCTCCCTCGGTGAGATAAGCCTTAGCCCTGTTTGCTGACTTTCCCTGGGGGGTAGGTGTTCAGATCTCTGAGCAGATGGAGTCTCCCCCTCACAGGTCTGTGCTACGCTCTCATTGGCCAGGAGCTCCACCACGGCTCATCCTGCCCCTCCCACTTCGCGCATCCAGGCCTGACGCCCTTGCCTTGGGCTGGGGGAAAGAGCCTCCTGTTCCCTCCCCAAATGCAGAGAAGCGAGGACAGGATTTCTGGACAGGATGTTTGTCAAACTCAGACCCTAACTACTTGGCACGACCAACCAGTGGCCCCTGCTTGGGGCTCTGTGGGGACACGGGAAGCAGAAGGCGCCCCTGCCCTTTAGGAGCGCAGGCTTGTGCACAGGCCACTGGAGCAGGGCTGGGCCCTGCAGTGTGACCGCCCTTGGCAGACGTGTAAGAGGGTGAAGTCCTGACTCGGTGTAGAGACAGCCGCTGCCTGCTGGGGGCGCTGCAGAGGCTGCAGGTCAGTGCCCACCCGAAGCCGCGCCCGGGTCTGCATTGACCAGAGTCAGCAGCGCGATGCCCTTGAAGTTGTGTCAACTAACGAGTCAGCGGACACAGTCCGAGTCATGTCAACTGACCAGGATGTGCAGCCGAGGGAGGGGCCGCTCTCTCGCCAGGCGCAGTCTGGACCGGATCACATGCCCTTGGCCCTGGGCCTAGACCCACCAGAGCGCTTCCAGAAGTGGGCAGCCAGGGAAGTGAAAGGTCAGGAAGGCTGGGGCTGTTTAGCCCGGAGATGAGAAGATTCGGAAGGTGGGAAGTCTCCAGAGATCTGAAGGGCTTTGAAATGAAAGAGATCGGACTAAATCACAGGGCCACCAGGGAGCCCAGCAAAAATCAAAAATGAAACTTGGGGGCGGAGCTCTAGCGCACAGACGGCGGACAATGCAGAATGCTGGTGGTGGCTGCGCGGTGAAGGGTTCCGGGCCTGTGTGTGGGCTGAGTGGGGAAGCGTGTCATAACCAGTTATGCCGTCTGCCAGGGTGCTGGCAGGGAGGCCACTCCGCTGGTGCCGGACACTTGCCACCTGCTTTACAGTCTGCACTAGAAAGACCCTCCAGACCCTTCAGGTTACTTGAAGATGACCAGGTGGTCTCTGTCAGGCATTCATTTCCTGGGGCCCAGGTGCCCTTGTAGACCTGTGGCTCTTGATATTTTTGTGCCATGTGGGCCCTTTGATCATCTGGTGAGGCCTAAAGTCGTGTTTTAAAAGGTGCAAATATTCCTGGCTGGTGTGGCTAGTGGATTGAGTGCCAGCCTGTGAACCAAAGGGTCTCTGGTTCGATTCCCAGTCAGAGCACATGCCTGGGTGGCAGGCCAGGTCCCCAGGGGAGGGTGCACGAGAGGCAACCACACACTGATGTTTCTCTCCCTCTCTTTCTCCCTTCCTTCCTCTCTCTAAAAAAAATAAATACGTCTTTTAAAAATGCAAATAAAAGACTGCAGATTACAGAAATTCAGTTATCAAAACATTAAAAAGGCAGATTTGTGATATAGTAATATCATAAGTTCATACACTTCATAACACATACAATTATAAGCAGCGAATCTAATTACTATATTTTGGAGTGATGAGTGTAAATGATACTTCACAATATCCGCAATGACTCCAATGTGATAATGAGAATCGCTGTGATTTCCGTGTTACCAAGTCGCAGGCCTGCAGTGCTGCATTCATCATTTGAGGGAATGCTTCATGTCAGTTAAAGGTTCATGACATTTCAGCTGACGGTCCCCAGGCCCCCACGTTCTACCCACAATCCCGGTGGGAGGCTGCTTGCCATGGAGACTGCCCCTTCGAGAGGGAACCCCACCCTGGGCCAAGCCCCCTACGCATGGCCTCTCGGCATTGAAGAGAGCGAGCTTGTCCACAGGCACCCGCCGCACCGTGGGTCTGACCTTCTCTCTCCCTGCTGCAGGTGGGCAGACAACTTCGTGGCCCAGGGCTGCGGCGGAAGCAAGGAGCACAGCTTCCAGCATCCCTTCCTCCAGGTATCTGCCGTCCCCTCCCACCTCCCCTCAGGCCAGGGGCCCCGGAGGCCCTGCTGTTTTCCCACCTGGGAGTGGAGCCCTCCCCTGCTCCCAGCAGAGCTGTCCTCTTCGCTCTCCCTCCCCTGAACAGAGGCCAGAGAGCGAGTGGCCCTGGAAGGGGGCAGGGGCACAGCCTCTGCGAGAGGCCTGAGCGAGCAGTCGTGCCCTGGGCACCGCGAGGCCAGCCCTCGCCACGTGTGAGTCAGGACGCATTTGGAAAACATCAACCCTTGTGGCAAAACCTGCACTCCACCCACTGGGGGAGCCCAGGCCCCGCCGGAACAGGGCAGGCACCCCAAACAGGAAGCACCTCGCTGCTCATCTGGGGAGCGGGAGACCCACATTCCAGCCCAGCTCTGCCAGCAACTTGCTCCGTGATCTTGAATAAGTTCTTGAGCCTCTCTGGGCCTCAGTTTCTCCATCTGGAACTTGACCTGGGGCTGGCCTATGTCGGTGGTTTTCAGACGGGGCCCTGCACAGCCTTAGGGTTTGTGTCAAGATGTTTAAGGGGCTTCGGGGCAGACCCAGGAGGCAGCCTCTGGCCTCCCGCACTCAGCGGCTTTGCTTTGGCCTGTCGTGTGTGTTAGGGTTGTAGGTAAGCTCTCGTTGGGAGAAAGGCTGTGTTAGAAACGTTGTGTTAAAGGTGGTCCTCCTTCCAGCTCTAAACTCCTCGGGCTCTGTCCCTGCAGGCCGTGGGCATGTTCCTGGGGGAGTTCTCCTGCCTGGCTGCCTTCTACCTACTCCGGTGCAGAGCTGCAAGGCACCCGGACGCCAGCGTAGATCTCCAGCAGCCCTTCAACCCCCTTCTTTTCCTGCCTCCGGCCCTCTGCGACATGACCGGGACCAGCATCATGTATGTGGGTAGGTAGGAAGGCCAGGAGCAATAGGGCTCCATGAGGCCCACGACCCACGGGGGCCACTGACGAAGCAGTCGCCCCCACCGCCACCCCCAGCTCATCTTCACCTCACCCCCACCTGCCCGTCTCCCACAGGCGTTCACAGATCACACTCACCCAAGATTTACCAAGCGCAGACGCTGTGGGAGGCGTGCCTTCAGCCCTGAGAACACCGAAGTGAACACGGCCTCGGCCCTCGGGAGCTAATGCCGGGTGTCTGTCCTCTCCTAGCCCTGAACATGACCAGCGCCTCCAGTTTCCAGATGCTGCGCGGAGCGGTGATCATATTCACGGGCCTGTTCTCAGTGGCCTTCCTGGGGCGGAGGCTGGTGCTGAGCCAGTGGCTGGGCATCCTCACGACCATCGCGGGGCTGGTGGTGGTGGGCCTGGCCGACCTCCTGAGCAAGCATGACGACCAGCACAAGCTCAGCGAAGTGATCACAGGTGTGGCCGGGGGCGGGGACCTGGGGGCTGCCCTTCCTGTCCTGTCCTGTCCTGTCCTCTCTAAGAGCCCGGCACAGAGTCATTCAACAAACTTCGACAAGCTCTGCTGTAGGCCAAGCCCTGGGTGAGGGCGCGGGGGACTGGCTGCTGTGGGCATGCACTGGCTCTTGAGTTGACCGACAGAGTGTGGGGAAGGCCGGAGGCCCTGCAGCCTGAGAAATGGGTAGGGGAGGAGCTGGATGTCAGAGGAGGCAGAGGCTTGTGCTGTGATGAACCTCTCTACACACAAACCACTGCATTTGGGAGAGGAGAGAAATGAATGTTTATTGAGCACTTACTGTGTGACCAGCTTGGTGCCGGGTGCTGTGTTTGTCTTCACATCCCCACAACCCCTGAAAGAAAGTAGTGCAGCCCGTTTTGCAATGAAGCGACCGCCCTGGTCGCTTGGAGGTAGGATTAAACCAGCAATGTCTGTCTCCAGGCCTGTGCCGCTCGAAAGACCCGCCCACCCCTTTGTGCAGGCCTCTGGACCCTCTGGGGCCTGTGCCCAGAGTGTGTGCCAGTACCTGCCGTGTCCACCTGCTGCGCCTGTCGGTGGCCTCGGGGCCGGGCGGGAGGGCAGCCATGACTGTGTGGTGCCTGCAAAAGTCAGGGGCTGTTGTCCTGTCCCTGTGGGAGCTGTCTCCCCTCAGCGTTGGGCCTGCCACCCTGCCACCAGCCCTGGGGCCTTGCTGTGTCCCTGCCTCCCTCACCCCCGGCCCGGTTGGTGCTTTCCCACAGGGGACCTGCTGATCATCATGGCCCAGGTCATCGTCGCCATCCAGATGGTGCTGGAGGAGAAGTTCGTCTACAAGCACAACGTGCACCCCCTGCGGGCCGTCGGCACTGAGGGTGTGTGCGCACGGGGGCTGGGGGCGGGCACTGGTCCGGTAGCCCGGGGAGCGGAGCGCATGTAGGGGCGCAGGTCCAGGGCAGGGACCACGGGAGGGGGTGAGCATCCTGCCCTGTCCTCCCTCCCTTCACCACGTGTGTGTGTACAGATCCTCTGGCACCGGTCCTGCGCGTGGCCAGGAGCTCAGGGAGCACGGGGCTGAAGATGAACTAGTCGTAAGCCTCTCCCCGGAGCCGACCAGCAAGGAAGGACCAAGCAGAGCGTTCGAGCGCAGACCACTTGTTCTCACGTGGCGTCTCCCCTGCCAGGCGTACCTGAGCGTCCTGGGCCAGGAGAGGTGGCGTTTGAGCGGCGGTTTCCACAGGCAGAGTGGGAAGGAGGGCGCTCCAGGCGGAGCGGAGACTCGGGGGGCTGGACTTGAGCTTGGAAGCTAGTGAGGAATCCTTCGGGTGAGATGCAGGTTGGATGCCTTGGGAAAGGATCAGGTCAAGATCGTACCGTGGAGAACCTGGAACATCAGGCAAGTGGATTTAGACTTTAAGTGATGGACAGGGAAGGACCATCACGGGTGTTTGAGCAGGGAAATCACTATGAAAATTATGCTTTAAACATATGAGACCAGCAGGGAGCATTGGAGCCACACTAGGAAGCATGGCCTGTGGGCGGGCCAGGGTGCTGTTTGTGGCCCCTCCGCAGCGAGCTGACAGCTGTGGCAGGATGTTAATCAACTAATCAGTGACATCTGCAAGCGTACTGTTTGTTTCTGCTCATTTTCTTTCTAACAAGACTTTCTGAATGAAGCAGTGCGTTGATTTACATTGTGGTTCAGCTCCTTATCACAGACCAATGGCTCCAAATGAGAGAGCTATGTTTTCCACAGCGGTGAGCGCTGTAGCAGTGATCACCAGCAGTTCTTTTCTAAATGAACAGGCTAGAATTTGAAAGTATCCGACAGCAGCATACACTGTAGGGATAGCTCTTGTTTTGTGAAAGTGTGTGTGTGTGTGTGCCTGTGCACACATATTCTGGTCACAATATATATTTTTTTAATTTTTTAAAGATTTTATTTATTTTTAGAGAGGGAAGGGAGGGAGAAAGAGAGAGAGAGAGAAACATCAATGTGCGGTTGCTGGGGGCCATGGCCTGCAACCCAGGCATGTGCCCTGACTGGGAATCGAACCTGCGACACTTTGGTTCGCAGCCCGTGCTCAATCCACTGAGCTACGCCAGCCAGGGCACAATATATTTCTTACTCCTGGGCCAGTCAGGAAAGGCAGACTGATGTGGAGAAGGTGCAGCTAGAGCCACAGCTAGAGCCGTTGGGCTCCAGGACCGTGCTGGTGGGAGGTGCTAGTGGGAGGGCCACTAGGAAGGGGTGGCAGCAGATCAGGGGAGGCCTTGCGGACCCCCCAGGCTGGCAGGCGGGGCCAAGCGGAGAGTGTGACGTGCTGCCCCCTCCCCTGCAGGCCTCTTCGGCTTCGTGATCCTGTCCCTGCTGCTGGTGCCCATGTACTACATCCCCGCCGGCTCCTTCAGCGGGAACCCTCGAGGGACCCTGGAGGATGCGCTGGACGCCTTCTGCCAAGTGGGCCGGCAGCCGCTCATCGCCCTGGCGCTGCTGGGCAACATCAGCAGCATCACCTTCTTCAACTTTGCGGGTATCAGCGTCACCAAGGAGCTGAGTGCCACCACCCGCATGGTGCTGGACAGCCTGCGGACCGTCGTCATCTGGGCTCTCAGCCTGGCCCTGGGCTGGGAGGCCTTCCACGCGCTGCAGATCCTCGGCTTCCTCATCCTCCTGATGGGCACGGCCCTCTACAACGGACTGCACCGCCCGCTGCTGGCCCGCCTGGCCCGAGGCCAGCCTCCAGCAGACGAGGGCGAGCGAGAGAGACTGCTGGATGCCTCGCGGACTGCCATCAACGACACCAGCTGAGCCTCCTGCGGGGCCTCTGCTGCCACCTGGATGGACCTCGCTCACCCTGAGGCTGAGGCACACGGGCTAGTGAGCCTCAAGGTCCCCGTCCCCGAGGTCTCGCCCTGCCCCTCCCCACAGACCCCCAGGACAGCTGCCGCCTCAGAATATGATGGACACCCAAGTCCTCCTGTGTCAGCACCTCCTGCTGAAAGGCGTTACCCAGCCCCCACGGGCCTGAGTGCAGTGACCGACCCCACCAAGCTCCCCCCAGGCCCTCAGGCCCCCAGGCCCCTGTGGCAGCACTAGAGCAAAATCGCAAAGTGGAATTGCAGGAACTAATAACCCCAGGAATTTCTAAATCAAGCCAAAATTAATTCTCCAAAAAAGGGAGGTCAGCGAGCAAATTCAAAGCAGAACTAAGTCCCATATTTTTTTAAAAAACTTGTAAGGTATCCCCTAACCCTGCCTGGAGCCCTGGGTTTCTCGGGCTCGGTGTGCTCCCCAGCCCACAGCCTCGTTGCTCGGGGCCTCGGGGCCCTGCTCTGAAAAGCGGATGGTGCTGACACTGTGGCCTGGGCACCTTCCAGCCCAGCTGGGCCCATTCTGCGGGCCTGTTTTTACCAACCTGGGAAGGGAGTGGCGGCTCCTCTCTGCCCACAGCGCCTCCTCTCCAGGCTTGTTTTGGTGTCGGGTGACCTTGCTCGCACCCCTCAGGGCCTCCCTTCCTGGAGGAGATCACAGGGGAATTCCAGGCAGCCCTCGATGGCAGCTTTTAGGAACTCTGCACCTCCTGTTTTAAAGGTGAGGAAACTGAAGCCCAGAATTATAAGTTGTTTGGCAAGAGGGGTGTCCTGCACTGGGCTCCGGCCATGTAGCCACGTGATCCTGCCACGGGCTGGGACCTAGAGCACAGCTGGTTCTCAGCCCCACCCGCAGCCCCCTGACCCCGCAGAGCACCCTCCAGGGGGGTGGGTTGCCCAGGATTCCACCATTCGGAGTAATTCTGGTAGCCCAGGCATTATACGAAGTGCTTGGCTTTCATTCTGTTGCGTAACTGCCTGCACAGGTGGGTGCAGATGAGGAAACTGCAGCCCAAAGAAGGTTAAATGATTTCCTTGTGGAGCAGGCATTCAAGAAGGGTTTGCCTGATTCCCAGTCTGTAGCCCTACCTACTGGTACTGGTCTCACTCTGGGTCTTTGGGGGAATTTCCTGTGGGTGGGATAGAAACGTCACAAGCTGGTGTCCTCCCAGTAACTCCCCTCCCCCACAAGAGAGGGCCCTGGCACCAGGGACCCCAAGGAGCTGAGTGGCCCTCCTCATTTTGTGGCAATTTCTGGAGCCTCAGGCCGTTTTTCTGGGCGGCTCAATCATAAAACACCAAATGCCTTCCTTAGAATAGGTTCTGGGGGAAGGAATCTCTGACAAGAAAACCCTCAGGCTGCATGGGAATCCAACAGGTTATTAAGGTTCTTTGGGAGAAGAAGGTCTTTTCATCCCAGCAGCTCTGGGCCCCAGGGGCCCCCAAGTGTCCCTAGGCCAAGGTATGTGTCCCAGGCAGGAGGACATGGCAGGGACGACAGCCGCCTTGTCCAAAAAAACTACCTTAGGATGTTGTTTTTAGGCTTTATGTTAAAAGGGGGAAGTTGGCAGTACGGACTTTTCTTTAATGAGGAAAGGAGTGCCAGGGCTGGGACCGCCCTGGGCATCGCCTCTAGAATGTTACTGGAAAAGCGCTGACGTACCAGAGCACAGAAGTCACCCAGCCCCTCATACATTATTCAGATGAAGAAACGATCGCCCAGGGAGAGGAAAGAACTTCCCAAGGTCACACCGCCAGAGACGGCAAAGCCGCATGCCCGGTTCAGCCCTCGCCCATCCCTCCCTGCCGCAGGGAGCGTGGCCAGGGGGAGCCTGTACGGGAAACCGGGGCTGCCCTCTCTCTGCAGGGGGTGCCCAGCCTGTGCCTCAGCCGAGCACGCCGCTCAGGGGGTGTTCGGGGAGCACTGCGCCTGTATCCGAGTGCCACCATGGGGGACTGTGTGGATTTCAGCGTTGAAGGGTTGGGGGGATTTATCATGGGACTGGAGGGGTGGCAGGGCGTGGGGAGGGGGACCACCTCATCAGGCCGGCCACCAGCTCCGGCAGATCGCTTTACCTCCTGGAGTTTTGGGTCTGCACGTGTCGGAAGTGGAGAAGCCGGCCTCCCTCCGGCAGGGTGAGCATGAAAATTATCCAAGATTAATAAACTGCAGAGGCTTGTAAAGGCCAATGCACGTGGGGTGTCATGTGAGGCTGTTCTGTCCACCAGGGGGTCTCTCGGGCACTGAGGTCCCTGCTGAGCACACGGGTGCACCACTTTGCTCAGAAGACGTGTTTCACTGTACACACCCTCATGTGGTGGAACACAGAATTCATAGATCAGAGGATCAAATAGAAGAAGACTTGATGCTGGCAGTAGGTACCCTTCCGACCCCCCAGGACGCGTTCACTCCGGCCTTTTGTCAGGGGTGCTTTGGAGGGTGAGTTCGAGAAGTGCTGTGTGGTGCTGGTCACGTGGGCAGGAGGGTGAGGACCCCCACCCTCCAGCTGAGTCTGGGGGACTGTAGGGGACGTCCGTAGCTGTGACCCTGCCGCTCTGAGCGGAGGGAGGAGGCCCAGAGTGGCAGGAGTTTGGCGTGGAGACCCTGAGCCCCCAAATCAGGATTGACTGATAGACTTCTGTAAACACTGGTTCACACACAGTGTAATTTAAGCCTTCCGAGTTGTAGTGAACTGACCAGGCCAGGGCCCTCACAGGGCAGTCCTGGGGCTTCCTGCAGGGCTGCCTGCCAGCCCTGAGCTACCCCTCAGGTTCCTCTCCCCAGGAATCTGCCCACAGGGCAGAAATTTAGGGCCCTGCCAGGTTCTGTTCACCTTCACTTTGTCCAAAGGTCTCTGCCTAGTGTAAGCAAACAGCAGTCCGGGCGGTCAGAGCTCTGGCCCCTGGTGAGGAGGGCCGAGGACTGGAGCCAAGGATCACGTGGTAGAGGGGAAAGCAGCAGAGTCAGGAGTCGGAGCTGTGACCGCAGCCCCGCCTCTACCTGACTGGGTGACCCTTGGACAAGTCATTTCACCTCTCAAGACCTGGGCTACCCCCCAAAAAGGCAAAATTCCCAGCATTCCTAATGCGTTCCTCTCCCAACCCACTTCTAGACCGGTATCACCCTTTTGTACTGGTCTTGGTTTAGAGGCTGTCTGGCCTTTTGTTGACTACAGCCTTTCAAAGCCCAAAGTCAGCTGGGCATTCTCTCTGTAGCCACGCAAGTTTATAAATCACCCTTCTTCTTTAAGAACTCTTGTCCAAAAAAGATTTTAATGAGGAATTTCTGTCCCAGAATTCAAACTTTATTGAGAACTGATGTGCTCTTTGATGTGGCTCCACCAAAGAAAACAGGAGAGACGGAGGTATAAAGAACTCCAGCACAGCCCGCTGTGCACGAGAGGCCTTTGCATGGGGCACGGGGCAGGTGGTGCAGGAGAGATCAGCTACCTGCCTGGAACTCGGAGAGAGCTCCACCTGATGGGGTGCAGAAGGTTGGGCAGGCAGTGTTGGGGGGAGAGAAAGAGGAAGTGTTTCAGGAGGAGGGAACAGCTTGCAAAAAGCACAGAAACCTGTGTCACAAGGTGATGTATTCGAGAACCGCAGGTAAGTAGACTGGCATGCCTGGCAATAAGTGGCCAGAGGCCCTGCCAGAGTGGGGCAGGTGCCCAGATAGTGCTGTGCCTTTCGGGCTTTGCTGAGGCGTCAGGGCTCTGAAGACGAGGGTGCCCAGGGAAGGTTTAGGTAAGGGAGGGACATGGTTTAAATTGGCTGTTTGGGAAGGTCATCTTGTGATATGGGAACAGATCTGGGTAGCATTAGGAAGTATGGAAGGCCAGTAAGATCACCACTAATTGATTAGGGTCTGGACTGTGGAAATGGCAGAGAGCATGTGCAGAAGAGCATTCCAGCAGAAGACCGACCTTCTGGGGCCTTGGTTGGAGGACCTTCTATTGTGTAAAGCAGTGATTTTCAACTGGTGTGCTGCAAGAGTTTTTAAAATATGCAATGCCTGACTAGTCAGGGGCACTGACCTCTTTTCCTTTAGATTGTCAAGTTAAAAAAATGACAACAGCCAATACAAGAATAGCTATCTGGTGCGAATGAATCAAAATTGTATCTTTTTTTGCTCAGATCTGCAAATAATATGTTCATTGGTGTGCCACAGAATTTTAGTAAGTAGTTTATGTGTGCCATGAGATGAAAGCGGTTGGAAAATTGCTAGTGCAAGGGCATTATGCTGAGTGAAATACGTTCGTTCAGAAAAAAACAAATACAGTATGATCACTCTTCTATGTGGAATCTAAAAAAAATAATTAAAAAACCCTCACCCTGGCCCAGTGGCCGTTAGTTGGAACACTATCCTGTACATGAAAAGGTTGTTGGTTCCGTCCCCAGGTGGGTGCATATGGGAGGCAACTGATCTATGTTTCTCTTGCATGTTGATGTTTCTCTTCCCGTTTCCCTCTCTCTAAAATCAATAAACAACCACCCTGGCTGGTGTAGCTCAGTGGATAGAGTGACGGCCTACGAACGGAGAAAGGTCGCTAGTTTGATTCCCAGTTACGAGGGCACATGCCTAGGTTGCCGGCCAGGTCCCCAGTAGGGGGCTCATGAGAAGCAACCACGCGTTGATGTTTCTCTCCCTCTCTTTCTCCTTCCCTTCCTCTCTGTCTAAAAATAAATAAAAGCTTTAAAAACATAAAATCGATAAACATATCCTCTGGTAAGGGTTTTTTAAAAAATCCTTTCTTCTACCTTTTTTTCTACTCCAATAGAGCAAGGTAGGAGCTCTATGTCTAAAGCAGAATTAATGAGTGAAGATTTGCTTTGTCTGATTCGTGGGTGCTGAGGACTGGGGGTGCCACACTTCTTGTCTCTGTGTTGACCCGGATCACTGACAACCAATCATATTTCTGTGATTTGATTGCACCTCAAAGGATTCAATTAGACATTCCTTCCCTTTCCCCCCTTCTATTTCTTTCTGGTTGTGAAATATACACAACATAAAACTTACTATTTTGACCATTATTAAGTGTATTCAGTGGCATTAAATAATGTTTACATTGTTCACGACTATCACCATCCACCTCCAGAATGCTTTCATCTTCCTGAACTGAAACTCTGTCTCCATTAAATACTAACTCCCCATTCCTTTCCCCCCACCCCCATACCCCCTCTTCCCTGACAACCACCACCCTACTTTCTGTCTATGAATTTGTTGTAGGCACCTCATACAAGTGGAATCCTACAATATTTGTTCTTTTGTGTCTGGTTTATTTTGTTTAACGGAATGCTTTCAAGGTTCATCCACCTTGTAATATGTGCCAGGATTTACTATCTTTTTAAGGCTAAATAGTAGTCCATTGTATTGTTTATACCACAACTTGTTTATGTAATCATCCACTTGGACTTTTCTGGCCATTATGAATAACACTGCTATAAATATTAGTGTGCAGATAACTTTTCAAGTCCCTGCTTTGAGTTCTTTTGAGTATATACCCAGAAGTAAAATTGCTGGATCATATGCTAATTCTATGTTTAATTTTTTGAGCAGTCGTTTTCCACTGTGCTTGCAGTGAACCCCGGGGGTTCTGCAAAATCGCTAATTCTGTAAACACCTTTTTCCTGATTATAGTACATGTTAACTGTAGAACATTTAGATAATGCAAGAAAGCACAGCCTAGAAAGTAAAATCCCCTTTATGCTCACTACCCAGTTGTACATTTGACCTGAATGCCCATTATCTGCAACAGGAAGGGAGGGTGACGTTTCCATGGGACGATCCTATTAATTATATTGTAATGCTGAAGAGTGTGACCCTGCTGAGGCCTGGATGGTTTGACCCCATCCACAGAGCCCCAGTCCTGGCTGTGCCAGGACCCTAATCATCAATAACGTACATGCAGTTAAACCAGCTTCTGAGTCATATTCGCAAGGTGTTCCTAGCAGTGTCACAGGCGCGACAAGGGGTTGTCACATTCTGTTGGTCTTCTCCTCATCTTTAAATGCCATCACTGGGTTGATAAGGCAAAACACAATATATTTGAGCAAAGTGATTTGTCTAGAGAAAAGCGCTCTACAATCACAGCTGCATCTCCAGAATTGAGCTGCTCTTTCCTCCACCAGAGGGCACCCGAGGACGTGAGTCTCACGGGCACCTCCCACAAGTAGAGGGCGGGAGAAATTCCCTCCTCCTTTCACTTCTCCAAGTGTCGATTGGCTAATTGCACCGTCCATCCGGCCAGATCTCCGCTTCTTCTCCCTATCACCGCCGCCGTTACCCTCTCTGCCTGTGCTCTCATTGGTCTCCCCCGCAGCCACTGGGAGTCGCAGGATTCGGGTTTTAAAAAACGCCAGCCCGACTCTGCAGAGCGGGCCGTTTGAATCCCAGACAGTGCCGTCGGCGCACTATTCTGCGGGCGCACGTGGCCGGGGCGCCCCTAGACCTGACCTGGACACCAGCCTCGACCCCCGAACCCAGAAGGCGGGGAAGGAACCGCGGGGCCGAGACCCTCCGCGTCAGCCATGGGCCCGCGCCGCCGGAAGCGCAAGACCGAAACACCAAGGAGACGCACCGCTAGCCCGACCCCCGCCACCCCACGTCCGACCCCTGCCACCCCACGTCCGACCCCCGCCACCCCACGTCCGACCTCCGGCACCCCACGTCCGCCCCCTTCCAGAGGTAACCGACCTCGGCCCCTGTCTCTCCGAGCCGGCCTCCCAGCAGCCTGTCTGTGAGCTGGACGCGGCCGAGTGCGGGCGCCCATTTCACAGACGAGAAAACCGAGGCTCCTTGCTGAGCCTGGAGGAGCCCGATCTCCCGGCTCCTGGTCCGCAGGCCCTCCAGCATCCGCTAGCGGCAGGTCCCAAGTTCCAACGCCGTGCAAGGGACTGGGGAAGGTAGTTCCGAGGAGGAGAGAGGTCTGGCCCAGATTACCCGGCTCCTAATGCTAATTCTTGATGCTACTCGCATTTATTGAGTGCACACCCCTAACTAGGCATTGTGCTGCTAAACTCTGCACGCGAGTTTATCTCCGCTTTATATTGTGACCATTTTACAGATGAGAACTCTTAGGCGCTGACAGGCCAGGTGACGTGAAGAAGGTCGCACAGCTTGTTCTGGCGGGCACAGGCTTTCAACAAGTTGGGGTGTGTGTGTGTGTGTGTGTGTGTGTGTTTAATTGCGAAATTCCTGGCTGCTTTTTGTGATTATTTCAAACAACAGTTCTACTGTTAGATGCCCTGCCTTCTAGGTTCGTTTTGTTTGTTCTTCCTTCCGTGAGGGGCTGTGTTGAGCCTTAACCCGGGCTCTTAACTCCGGCAGAGAGCTCTCACCTTGCTCCCTTCGGGAGGTGTGCGCCCAGACGGAGCGCCGGCCTGCGGGCCTCCGTACCTGGGCTGCAGGCTGGGGACCAGACGCCGCACTGTGTGGGCTGCTTGCCTTCTGCTACGTGGGAGAAAGCATGTTCTAGATTGTTCATGGATGTTGCCCTTGTGAATGGGAGGTTTTTTTCTTTCCTAAATATCAATAACCTTTGCACCCAGCCCACTTGCTGAATTCTCTTGTTAATCCTAATAATCTTTTAGTCATTTTATTGAAGTTAAGTAGGCTATTATATTGTCTGTAGATAATGACTTTTGAATCTTTTTCATTTGTATGCATTTTATTTCTTTTTAAAAATATTTCCTTTCTTTTTCGAGAGAGGGAAAGGGAAGGAGAAAGAGAGGGAGAGAAGCATCAATGTGTGGTTGCCTCTCACATAGCCCCCACTGGGGACCTGGCCTGCAACCCAGGCACATGTCCTGACTGGGAATCGAACCGGCGACCCTTTGGTTCACAGCCTGTGCTGAGTCCACTGAGCTACACCAGCCAGGGCCATTTCATTTCTTATTGTATTGTATTAGTGAGGCCCTGAGACTGGTATTAAAGTAAGAGCAGCATTTTGGCCATCTTTGTCTCATTTGTAATTCTAACGGAAGTATCGTTAGGTATGATGTTTGCTGTTGCCTTCCTGTATAGAAGCATCTCTCTACTCCTGGTTACATTAAATGTTTTATCTCAGACCGACACTGAACACTATTAGCAGTCTTGCTTTTCCATTCTCCGATGACTAGTTGGTGCCTTGTTCTGCCTCTTCGAAACCCCTACGACTGCAGACCCCCATCCTGCTCTCAGCTGGCAACGAGTTTGCCTCTAGACTGGACTCCCCTTATCTTCTCACACGGGGAACCTAGCTGTCCCCCTTCCTATCCAAAGCCACTCCTCCTCCCACTGGGCCCTTGGTCATATTCTTCTCCCACATTCCCAGGAGCTTGTGTGATCCTCTTCACCTGCACTCACAATTAAACTCGCAGTCCTAGCGGTTGCACTCTGCAAGTAGGCTCCGCCCTTTCTGGTGTAAAGACAAAGGGCAGAGGCGGGTCCTCATCCCCCTAGTCCATCTCCCTCATAGTCTCCACTTCTCTCTGTGGCCCTGCAGCGCTGCCCTGTTTAACACAGCCAGACTCCAGTCTGCACACACTGTCTGTTGCCCGCCTTCTCCATCATCCTTCGTCGAGTTTCAGTCCGACTACCCCTACCTCTAGTGCACTTGAACTCCTCTTGCCAAGGTCAGCAGCTGCTTTTGTGTTGCCAAACCCAATAGACGTGTTTGTGCTTTTTTCTCACTTTGCCTCTCAGAAGCATTTGACACAGTGCACCGCTGTGTCCCTGGAACACTCTGTCCCCTCGGCTTCCGTGACACCACACACTCCGCAGTTCCCACTCGGCGTTTCTTGCTGCCGGGCCGCCTCTCTTTGGTGACTGGATGCTGGTCGTCCCTGGTCTTCTTCCCCTCCCCCAGGTGGTCTCCCCCCCCCCCCGCCCCCGCCATTCCCACGACTGCAGTACCACTCACACATCGACAACTGGCGCACCCCTGTTTCCAGCCCAGATGCCTACAGCCAACTGCCTGTCTTCCCGAGAGCTCCTGGGAGCATCAGACTAAATGTACTGAAAAAGCTGAACTTCTGATGACTGCCCTCCACCTCTTCATCCCCACTTTTCCCCGCTTAAGTAAATGGCACAACTACCCACCCAGGTGTTCCAGCCAGAAACCTGGGAGAAGCCCTTTTCTGTCACCTCCATGTCCAATCCAAACATAGGTCCAGGCAATTCTGCCTCCACTTTGTGTCCTTAGCCACCCCACTTTTTACCTCCAGCCTGGTCCAAGCCACCAGCATCGTAGCCCAGCCGCTACCCCCCTTCCACGCGTGCCCCTTTCCTTACACGACAGCTGGAATGGTCTTCACGATGTAAGCACATCACCTCTCTGCCCTGCTTAAAACTCTTCCGTGGCTTCCCATCACCCCAGTGCGTGCTGGCACTCCAGACCCAACTACCGAATGTCTAATCCCATCCTTTCCCACGAGCTGTCTCTTCGGCTGCCTTCCCTAACCGCTTGTTCCTGGCTTGTGGCTTCCTATCTCCCCTTCCCCCCACCCCGAGGTTCTGATGGACATTTCTCCCCAAGTCTCTATCCCTTCTCTCTGCGGACTTGGATTCCTCTCGTTTGTTGAGTTTTCGTTCTCTCGTTTCATGGTGTTGGCCTTCTGAAATGTGACCTTTCGTCCTGCTCTGTGACTGCTGCCTGTGTATTAGAGGCGTCTCCAGGGCCCAGGCTGCTAACTGGTGATGAGGAGGGAGGTGGGTGCCAGTCGCTGGGTATGTGCCTCCCTCTTTCTCCTGAATGTCACCAGTGCCCAAGACACAGCCCTGCTTTTCTGGCCCATGTTGCCCAATCCAGGGAGAAAATCCGCACCACCAGCTGTTCGGCACGGGGCATCTCTGCATTGCCCCACCGGCCCCATTTGCTCTTACAGCCCCTCTGACCCTTTGCAATGAGGTCACTGGGTTAAATCCCTTCTATTGAACTACTTGGTGTGGATTCTCTGTTCTTGGGTGCCCCTTGAGTAACATTTCTGAAGCTGATTTTCCCCTTCCAAATGTTTCTGTGGGCTTTTTTTTCTGTTTTTATTCTTCATTCAACTTATCAGAGGTTCATTTATTTTTATTGGTCCTTGATTTAATTTGTGGATCAGCTCTATGTTTTCTGGTTTACTCTTTTTTCGTTAATTCATTTTATTGAATATTTCTTTGGCTCTACCTTCTTTTGGCTTACTTAAAAATTTTTTTCTCCTTTTCACCCAAGGATATGTTTAGCGATTTTATAGAGAGGGGAAGAGAGAGAGAGAGGGGAAGGGAGAGATAATGATGTGAGAAGCATTGATCAGTTTCCTCCCATATGCACCCTGACCTGGGATCGAACCCACAACCTAGGTATGTGCACTGACTGGGAATCGAACCTGCAGCCTTAGGTGTACAGGATGATGCTCCAAATAACTGAGCCACCCCGCCGGGGCTCTTTTTTTTTTTTAAAGATTTTATGTATGTATTTTAGAGCAAAAGGGAGAAAGGGAGGGAGAGAAACACTGATCAAGTGCCTCTCTAACGCACCCTCAATGATCAGGACCGAACCAGCAATTTAGGCACGTGCCCTGACCGGACTCAAACCGATGACCTTTCCCTTTGCAGAACGATGCCCAGCCAGCTGAGCCCAACTGGTCAAGGCTCTTTCGGCTTGTTTTACTAATTCTCTTCCTAAAACTTGGGTTGACCAATTAGGTCAGATATCTTTTAATGTTCTTGTTTTCTAACAGATCTCGAGGGTACACACTTTCTTCTAGTACTATTTGGCTCTATCTCATAAGCTTTTTTTAAAGATTTTATTTATTTATTTTTAGAGAGGGAAGGGAGGGAGAAAGAGAGAGAGAGAGAGAGAGAAACATCAATGTGTGGTTGCTGGGGGCCATGGCCTGCAACCCAGGCATGTGCCCTGACTGGGAATGGAACCTGCGATGCTTTGGTTCGCAGCCCACGCTCAATCCACTGAGCTACGCCAGCCAGGGCTATCTCATAAGTTTTGAGATGTAAAATTTTATTTTTAGTCAGTTCTAAATACGCTCATTTCAATTACGTTTCCTCTTTAGCACAAGAGTTAGAAAAATTTTTATTTTTTGTACGCCTGTATGTTTAATTTCTAGTCAGAGAGTTGGAATTTTTTTATTTCTACTTTTGGGAAGGTTTTTAAGATTTCTTTTTTTTTTTTTTTATTGTTGGAACTAGCCGTCGAGCCCAGTGGCCCGGCATTGGTGCTGAGTTATGCCGCTTCCAAGGTTCCCACCGTGGCTGCTAATGAGCTCCGGCCACGTGTCTCACCTCTTCAGGCTTGAGGGTAACCAGGACGAGGGAACTGTATGATACTCTCTGAGATTCCTTCCAGCTCCAAAAGATAAAGTAAAACAAAGACCTTAAAACAAAGTAACTGGGTTTCCAGTCGAGGCGGGAAAGGCGGAAGAGGTGTCCCAAGCACTGTGGAGCCTGGCCGCAGGAGGTGACCCATCAGCTGCAAGGGCTTGGCAGTCAGGAAAGGCATTTAAGATAATACCCTCAAACCCTCAAGGGGTCGCTATCGAGGGTCAGTAAGACCCTCCAAGGATCATCCGGTGATTTAACAGGTATTTATTTAGCACCTCTCTGCTGTCTGTTTCCCGGTCGCTGAAGTTGGCCGCAGTGGATAAAACAGACAGAACCCCACTGTTGTGAACCATATTGTGCAGCCACCAAGCTACTGCCCCCCCCCCCACCCCCCGCACCTCACCTGCATGACCTGACTCTTTTTGCTCAGGCCCTTCCTTCCGTCGTCGGTACCGGAGACATCTGGTTCTGAGGGAGATCAAAAATCTTCAGAAGAGCACACACCTTTTGTTAAGGAAGGCCCCCTTCTGCCGCCTGGTGAGCTCTGGGGGCTGCCCGCCTACCCCTAGGCTGCGTCCTTTCTTTAAATGTCCAAGGTACTGGGGACCCTATTGTCTCTTGCCCAAATGGCCAAGGGACCTCTTACTTGATAGGGGACTCTTTATCTTCTAAAAGACAGGGCCCGCCAAGGGTCCTTCCAATTCTCTATGGAATTAATCTCCAACCCCCACCACCTTCGAAAGGGTGTCCTTTGACTATGTAAATGAAACCCTCTCATCCCTGCCCCGCCCTGGGAGATCCCCTCCCCTCCCGGGAGGCTCACTGGAGAGTCTTATCTCCCCTGGAGTCTCTTCTTTCACTCTGCTCCCCACCCCCCACCCCCACTCTCCTTTGCCTCCCATCTCTACTCCTTCACAGGCAAGAGAAATATGTGTTAAATTCACTCGTGGTGTGGACTTCAGTTGGCAAGCCCACGCCCTGCTGGCCCTCCAGGAGGTAAGGGGGCCACAGTGCCATGGGGGAGGGGCAAGTATGGGATGTTCTGGAACTGCACAGGGCTGGCGGTGGGGTGCTTCACGCTGACTCAAGCCTCCTTGAAAAGAGCCCCAAGAACACCCAGGGTCTGGAGGCTGGGCCTGGTCTGGTGGTAGCAGAAACCCAGGCAGTTCGGTCTCGTTCCGGGACAGTCTTTCCTTCGGTCCTTGGAGCCCTCGGAGACTAGGTTCAGCAGGGCCCCCCGGGGGGAAAGTGGCCGCGCAGCCTTGCCTACATCAGTCCGCTTCTGTCTCCGTCCGCAGGCGGCAGAAGCCTTTCTAGTGCATCTCTTTGAGGACGCCTACCTTCTCTCCCTCCACGCCGGCCGCGTCACCCTCTTCCCGAAGGATGTGCAGCTGGCCAGGAGGATCCGAGGCATCGAGGAGGGGCTCGGCTGAGCTGCCCCTGCCCCGGTATGCGTGTCCAGCTCACCAGAGGAGGGCGGGCGGGGGAGCACTGGGCTCCTCGTCAGTGGGGAGGGGGCACTGGGCTCCTCATCAGTGGGGAGGGGCGAGTGTCTCTGAAGAGACACTCCGTCTCTACTCCATCCTCAGTCCTTTGCCGACTTGCCTTCCCTTTGTTCTTGAGAAGTCTGACCTGGTTTTACCTTGAATATTTGGGACGCTGTGGTTCACGCCCTAAAGTAATGACCAGACGACCCGAATGTCTGTCCGAGTTAAGCTTCTCCATTTTACAAGGACCAGGCAACCTCATTTTGATTAAGAGAAGGTTTTCTTAGTTTTGAAAATGCCTTGTTAGTAAATGAGATTCCTTCATTTCAGGGAAGATACCAGGGACTCCGGCTGGGAGTCCGAGGTGCTGGCTGGACTTGGTGTTTCTGAGTCGAGTGCACATGTTGCTTTTGTAACTGGTTCTTTTAAAAAGGGGCGCGCTGCCCGGCTTCCCTCTGCAGCTGAGGACGCGGACAAGAAAGTCAGCGTGGTCCCAGGGGCCTGGGGGCTGTTTCCAGACAGAGGGCCTCCGAGGCTGACTGCAGTTTGTAAATTATTCCTATGGCTGCTTGGTGATTTTGGAGACATCAGATTTGCTGATATCTGCGTACTGTCTGAGATCTTCCTGGACCATTTAAAGCTTTTACCATATGTATATTTACTTGTGTTTGACACGGAAGGGGAAAGACAAGAGAAGAGCACTCCGGCCAGCTGCGGGGCGGAGCCTGGCGCGTCCGCACACAGACCTCTGTCCTTCTGGTCAGCTTTGGCGGCGGCGGCAGCGGCGGCCAGCAGGGGCCTGCGCGACCTGCGCCTGCCTCAAGTTACAGCTTTTCCAGAACTCATCTGGGGTGAAAACTGAAAATCAAGATTTGATGTTCTGGTTCTTCTTAGTAAATTTCTATCAAGATCACTCAGAAATTCTAGCTTGTAGAATTTTATTATTTGTAAATCACAGAGGATGTAGCACAATTTATACTTTAGAATTTTTCATTCCCAGATTTTCAAGTGTTTTAATGTATTGACAGATATTTTTATAAATTCTTCGTGGAGAGATAGTAAAAATAAAAATAATTCTTTAATGAAAAATGTTTAAAGCAAAGTTACTGTTAAAGCATACATGTATATTTTGCGCGTTAACATGAAGTTCTCTGGACACTGTTTGCAAACAGCTAAAATTTAAATGAGCATCGAGGGGTGTGTTTTTGTCTCCAGCGGAGTAGCACACGAGCGGTGAGAACCTTGCCCTTCTCCTGTAGCTGAAAGCACTTTCAGAGATTTCCAGACAAATAGGGAATGCTACCCGAAGATTCTTAGATTTTGTGTCTAGTCGAACTGATGAGTGAGGGCAGACTAGTCATCTGAACTCAGAGACAAACTAAAGGGGAGGACCAACTTCTATCATTTAATACAAATGAACCCTTTGGGAAAACCTTCTTGTTTGACCTCGACTTGTAGTTATGCAGGTATTCAAATAAAGCTTGTCTATGTACGAATGTATTTATTTTTTTAATATATTTTATCTGTGAATATATTTGAAGTTCTTGTCCGAGTGTTATTAATGAGAAGATTGTTGTCTTTCTCTAGCTTTTTTCCCAAATTGCACTAACCGGGACACCACCTCAACCAGCACATGTCCACGTGTCACATTCACATGCCAGGCGGGAGGTGGGAGCAGTCACATGAGGAAAGTAACATATCACAACAGGGTTATACACTATTGTTGTAGGATAACAATGTTACATACTATTACATAGTATAACAACAGTATATAACAGCTGGGCACTTACATTTTTGGATTTTTGTTTTTGTTTATCTCTACTTTCTGGGTGATTCCATCAACACTGTCTTCTAACCTTTCCATTCAATTGTTACTTCTGCTTTCACGTATTTAATACAAGAACTCCTTTTTTTTTTTTTTGCTTATCTTTTATAGCATCCCAGTCAGTCAGTGTTTACTCATAAAACAGAAACCACCAGTCTAGATAGTTCAAGCAGAGGAATTTTTTTTTAAGATCTTATTTATGTATTTATTTATTTATTTTTAGAGAGGGAAGGGAGGAAGAGAGAGAGAGAGAAACATCAATGTGCGGTTGCTGCGGGTCATGGCCTGCAACCCAGGCATGTGCCCTGACTGGGAACCGAACCTGCGACACTTTGGTTCCCAGCCCGTGCTCAATCCACTGAGCTACACCAGCCAGGGCCCCAAGCAGAGGAATTTAATGGAAGGGATTTGGTCACAATAAAGTTGTGGAGGGCTGGGAGAGCAAAAGGGAAGAGAGCTGTCATTCAAAACCCGGGGAGCTACCCACTCCCAAGCCCAGCTCAGCGGGGCCCTGGAAGCAGGGCCCGGCCGGCACTGCGCTGGAGCCCCATGTACGCACGCTCATGCTGCTGCTGAGCAAGAGCTCAGGAGAGGAGCCCCAGCTCCGACCCCACCCACACTGGGGAAGCCCTTTCCTCCGTGGCTGCTGTGCCACCAAAGGCCCTTTGAAACTTTAAAAAAGAAAATGTCTCCTTGTTCTTCCCACTTTCCAGGCCCCCACCAGCATTTTCCACTGGCAGGCCCAGGAGAGAACCTGAAGGAAAATGAATCCAGCTAGGTCATACACTGACCACAGCTGTGCAGGCAGTTAAATTAGGCTACAACTGTAAACAAACAAACAAACAAACAAACAAACAAACCATGTTGGCCCTGGCTGGTGTGGCTCAGTGGATTGGGGGCCGGCCTATGAACCAAAGAGTCACCAGTTTGATTTCCAGTCAGGGTACATATCTGGGTTGTGGGCCAGGTTCCCGGTGGTGGGGTAGATCACATTGATGTTTCTCCCCCTCTTTTTCTCCCTCCTCTGTTTAAAAAAATAAATAAGCCCTGGCTGGCGTAGCTCAGTGGATTGAGTGCGGACTGCGAACCAAAGCATTGCAGGTTTGATTCCCAGTCAGGGCACATGCCTGGGTTGCAGGCCATGGCCCCCAGCAACCGCACATTGATGTCTCTCTCTCTTTGTCCCTCCCTTCCCTCTCTAAAAAGAAATAAATAAAATGTTTTAAATAAACAAATAAATAGTTTGACCCCTGCAGCCAGGACAGCCCTGGCCCTGCTCAGCACCGCCCGGGCTGCTTCCATCGTCCCCATGTATTCAGGCAGGGGCACTGGTGGCACTGTCATGAGCTGCTCCATTCAGAGGCCTTCCGGGGGGCTGGCCCTGCTGGGGTCTGTGTGGAATTTGACGCCTGGTGGGAAATACCAGTGTGTGTGCAGCCGTGAGACAGGAAGTCTCACTTGGGAAAGGCGCTAAGGTGCTGGGCTCCCACGCACCCGTCTATAAGAGCACCCGTCTGTAAGACGGCGTCAATCCCGCCTGTCGGTCTGCCTCCTGGAGCGCTGCTGAGGCTGCGTGCACCCCAGCGTGCAGAAGCCAGGTCCCCATAAGGAATTATAAAATGTCAAAGATGATGATTGATGTTAAACGTAGCTCATAGGTGAAAAGGGTTTTCCCCCCACTGGCTCCTTTCTCAGGAAAATGTAGAGGAAATTATTGTGAAGTGCTTTGATCTTCTTGGCAGAAAAGCAGAGAATAAATTCAAGGTGTCATGGTGCATTAGTCCCCGCACTTTGGAACTGAGCGTGACCAATTTCGTTCAAAGCTGGTGACCACCTTTCAGGATCCCTTAAAATCTCTGAGCCCCACCAAGTCCTCGCCCCCAAGACTGCTCCCCTCTGAACCATCCTGCAATGCACCCTGGGGCTCCTTGTGAAGGCCACCACCCTGTTTACATGACTGTGCTCCTCACCTGGTACTGGGGTGTCCATTCCCATGATTTGGGTCTGCACCATGGTCAAGCCCTGCCTCTGCCATGTGGCTACTCGGCCTCCCTGAGGGCATGACCATGGAACCCTAACTGAAACAGTGGCTGCCATTTATTGGGTGCCAGGCACTTTCCCAGCATCACCAAGTTTAATCCTCACAGTTCCTCAGTGAGGAGCTTTCCCCTCCCATCTGCTGGACCCCAGGAGCTGCAAGGGACTCTGTGGCTGGGGCTTAGAGGGACTGAGCGACTTGCCCCAGTCACTGAGCTACAGTCCCGGACAGGCTCTGGGACTCCAGCCAGTTTCAGGCTGGAAGGTGTCCTCTGTGCATTGCTGTGTTTGCCCTTGTCTCCTTCCCAGGGTACCCCCACACTCCGTCTGTGTTCCCAGTCTCTTCCCCTCTCCCTTTCCCCAGGACTCCCCCTCTTCGATCCTTCTACATGTCCATGTTTATCCCCTTCGCATTCAGCTTCCTGCTCTCCGTGGGATGGTCTTCCTCTTCTACAAGCACCGCCTTGTCCTCCAAGCTGGGAGAATTTCCCCCCACCCCCTCCCCTGCTGCCCCTCCTCTTAGCCACCCTCGCCTGTCCTCTCCCCGCAAGCTTCCCCTGGATTATCCACAGTGGCTGTTGCTGAGCCTGCAAGCAGACTTTTACCATCACCCTTTCCTGCAACTGCTCACCAAGCACCCTCCTCGATTGCCCAAGTTATAATACATATCATACATTGAAAGGCCCACCGCTGCAGGTGTTGCACCGTCTACCCTGGCCGTGGCCTTGAGAGATGGGTACTGTTAGCTCAGGTTATAGACGAGGCATCTGAGGCTCTCAGTACGTGTCTGGTTCAAGCTCACTACAGTCTGATTCAGAACCAGTGCTTCTGCTGCTGCGCCATGGCCCCCCTGCCTGGGTTTTCCAGACTCTTTGGGGGATCTTACCCTATGGCACTGACTTGCATATAGAGATTTGACTGCTGGCTCACCATTTTTTTTAGTGGCTAGGTAAACGTCAAGCTCCTTAGGAATGCTGGAGAACACCCTTTCTCAAAGGGCACCTCAAGGAGGAACAGGTTGAAACTGCAAAGGAAGGACCACCTGGGTGCCGTGACTTGGCACAGGTTTTCCTTGAGAGTCATTCACGGTCCCCACCGTCTGCCAGCCTTCTGGAGGGGATGCGGGAAGGGCCCAGCTTGCGTCGGGAAGATGGAGTTTGGAAACCTGCTTCTGCTACTTACAGCAGTGTGACCTTCCAGACAAGTCACTGAACCTCTCTAAGCCCCGTCTCCGCACCTGTGGGGCATGGGCAATGCCACCTGCTGTGTGGAGTGGGAAGGATTAAATGATGTGCTCTAAAAACACCTACCAGTCTTTCATCCCTCCCCCTTTTATGGTGACCCTTCACTCGCCCAGTATCCAGAGGCTTGTGGTTAAGGCAAGTGGAACTCCAAACACATTTACTCATAAAAGCCAGTAGCCATGAACTTCATGGAGACTGGCCCCAACACCCACCAGCCTACCTTAATGTCCCTTCTCTTCCCACCATCTCCTTTCACGGACTTGATTTTCAAGCTATGGGGTTTCCTCAGCTGCCTTCCAAACACCCCTCAGCTTCTCCACCCACAAGCGTTGACTCCTTCATCCTGGAACCTCAGACCTCTGCTTAGAACCCTCCAGCAGATCAACATCTGGGGAAAATCCAGATTCAGTCCCTCCATCCCCTGATGATCTGCTCAGAACTGATTTCTCTCCTGCCTGAATTCTGTTCTGCCTTGTGTAAACTGCTCATAGGCGCTTTATAATAAAGGTCAAACATATTGTCTTTTGTGGCTGCTATAACAGGAGAGTCATTTTCTTCTGTCCCTCACGCTGGTCTGATAACTGTTTGTTGTTGAGTAGATGAATAATAATAGCTACATTTGTTGAGTGCATGCTAATATGCCAGGTGGTGTGCTATGCCCTTTTATGCATTTCCTCCTGTAATCATCACAACAAAGTTAAGAGAATTATTATGATCCTCACATCCTGTGGGGGAGCTGTAGTTCAGATGGATTAAGTAACTCTCCAAGGTCAAGTACCCAGAAAGTATCGCAAGGATTCCAACCTAGGGATGTGTGACCCTGAGCTCTGTGTTCTTTCTATTTTCCAGGAAAGAGAGAATAGATTCTAAATAAATAAAGCTAAAATAAACTACTGGGGACATTTACAATCTCGGGTTTGGGTGCGACTTTCATCAATGTCCCAGGTCAACAGATGACTTTGGGGCAGCTCTTTTTTGCCCAGGAAAGCAAAGAAGCAAGAATCCAAACGTTGTCCAATAAATGTTGAAAAAACATTGACTGCCACTAGAGGGCTACCTCCCCTCAGGCAAAAAGTGCAGTATGGACCGTGCCGGAGGACGCAGCAGCTGCGGGGAGGTAGATCTGGGATCCGATTTGCCTCCCCGAGGTGCGATCCATTTTGCCTAAACCCCTGGGTCAGTACGGAGTTTGGCCAACGCCTGGAGAAACTCATAGGGCAGTGCCCCAACATGAAGCAGTGGGGAAAGGAGCAGCGACTCCCCCAAGTTTCACACCCACATCCTAGGCTCCCCTGGGGTATGGGTGCTGTGGGTTGGACCCTAGGCTCATCTGGGGGCTCCCTGCATGAGCCCACGACTGGGTGAGGGTAGGGAGAGGGCAGGAAAGTAAACCT